GGGGAGAGCGGGGAGAGGCTCCTTTCTAAGGGGGTCTGCTGGGGCGAGCTTGGACTTGATATGGGACCTGGCAGAGCCCGAGGGCTTTCTAATCAAAGGAGGGGTTGGCCCAACCAGGACTTCAGAAGGCTCGTTGAGGGTGGAGAGGGTCAGGCTGGGGCCAGAGGCCACTCGGAAGCTGCTCCTGGAATCCAGGCAGACAGGTTGGTGGCCAAGACCCAGGTGGTGTCTGTGGGTGTGGGGGACAGTGGATGGACTTGGGCGATGTTCAGCACTGAGGACTGACCATGGTGGTTTCCTCTGATCAGAACCGAAGCTTCCTCTTCTTGTGCTGTGAGCTTACAGAGTGTCTTTTCTCATCCACAGAGGTGGAGCAAGATGTGCTGGCCAGAGTGCCGGGGGCCAACGTCACCCTTACCTGCCCAGGCGTGGGACCAGAAGACAATGCCACCGTCCACTGGGTGCTCAGGAGGGTGGATGCCCACCATGGCACACCGGCTGGCCTGGGGAGGAGGCTGCCTCTTATATCAGTGCAGCTCAATGCCTCTGGCAACTACTCCTGCTACAAGGACGGCTGGCTAGCTGGGACCGTGCGCCTGCTGGTGGAGGGTGAGTGTTCCCTAGGCCTGGGATTCAGCCTCTGGCTGCTCAAGTTCTCCTGTGCATTCCAGAGAGATTCCTGGCCCAGCCTGCTCGACAGCAGTCATTTTCTGACTTGGGCGGGGGTGGGGGGGTGGGCGCAGCGAGTGAGCGAGTGGCCAGTCCTGTGGGCAGAGGCGTCTGGTAAGTGGTGGGTGCCATGGCAGGCCCATTGGAGCTTGCTTACGTGGACAGGCTAATACATGGCGCCTGGAGCAAGGTGTCTTCAAATACGGATTCTCCCTTCCACCCCTCAGTTTCCTCTTTGGTGAAATAAGGTTAATATTACTTTACCTCAAAGCTTTGCTACGGAGATTAAGTTATTGAGTCTCTGTGTGTGCGCGCGCGCGCGCACGATGCTTACCGCTGTGTACAGCATATCTGAGCTGTCAGATTCTTCAGACTCACTGTTGTGGAGTCATTCTGCCTCACAGTGACCCCATAGGGCCCAGCTCACCA